CCCCTTCCGAACCGCGCCAAAGAGTCACCTGTACACGCTCGTGCTTCACACGCTCCACTTCCCCACCCTCGTGTCCCGCCCAGACACCAAGTGGCGGGACCTCCTACCACCAATGGAGGGTGGGGAGCCCCGGTGGGCCAGCCTCTATTCGACCTTGGTTCCACGGCCCACCGGGGACATCTGCTGAAGAATCCTGCATGGAGCTGTGAGCACAGGCATGTAGTTGGCGCGGTTCACCCCCATTCCTGACACTTGCCTCTTCTGTGATTGGAGGGAGACCCTGGCGCACATCTACATCGAGTGCGCCAGGCTACAACCCCTCTTTCGGCTCCTCCAGAACCTCCTGTTGCAGTTCTGGCTGCACTTTTCCCCCCACTTGTTAATTTACGCATATCCCATCCGTGGCCCCACAAAGTCGCGGGACCTCCTGGTCAACCTCCTCCTGGCTATGGCCAAATGGGCAATCTACAAAACCAGGGAGAAGAGGTTGGCCCGGGGAGGGGCCTGCGACTGTGGGGCCTATTTCCGTTCCTGCATCCGCTCAAGTATCCGGGCAGAGTTCCAATGGGCAGCATCCGCTTGCTCTCTCGAGACCTTCGGGGGGCAGTGGGCACTGTCTGGGGTTCTCTGCTCGGTGTCCCCATCCAGTTCCCTCGTTTTAACCCTTTGACCCTCACACCCGTACCTGTTTTTTCATTATTTGTCCCCAGTAATTAGTTGGTTTTTCCAGATTCAGTGGACCCTCCCCTCAGGATGGGGGGAGGTCCTTTAGATGTGGGCGGGCTAATGCCCGCCCACCTCCTGGATACCAAATAGTACCAACTGCTCCAAGAAGCAGTAATTTAAGGTATCAAGAAATTTTAGCTCTCCATCCCATCCTGAGGTGATGTGTACTCAGTCAATACGGGGATAGTTGAAATCCCCCACTAATATTGAGGTTTTTTATTTTGATAGCCTCTCTAATCCCTTTGAATTAAGGATGTTAAAATGTGGTTAATTGACTAATTTTCCATTGACTAGTCAATAGGCACTTGTACATTTCAAAGGAAGAATGAGGAACTCCGCATAGAGTCCGGTGCCAGCAGGAAGTCCCGCTGACTCCGGGCTGCATGTGGGTGCCTGCTTTGAAATGCACAAGAGTCCCCAGCAGTCTTGTGAATTTCAAAACCATGGAGCCTGGGGTCAGCTGGGGACTAAGAGTCCCCCGCTGATCCCGGGCTCCATGCTACACTGAATGCTCCTAGGAGTTCTGAGTGGCACTCCCCTGAAACCTGGGGTCAGCTGGGGACTCCCCAGCTGACCCTAGGCTCCCGACAGCATTTCCCTGGTACCCGGGATCAACTGGGGAGCCCTCAGCAGACGCTGGGTTCCACTGTTGCGGGGAGCCCGGCGTCAGCTGGGAGTCCTCAACTGATCCCAGGTTCTGGGGAAGTGCCACATGGAGCTGTGCAGTGGGTTCCCCTTTGAAACTGCCCCCTCCACCCATTTTACAAGGGCAGTGGAGCCCAGGGTCAGCTGAGGACTCCCCAGCTGACCCCCAGCTTTGTGCTGCACTTCCCCGGAACCTGAGATCAGCTGGGGAGTCCTGCCTGCGCAATGCCTGTGCCCTGAGCACTAGCTCCACACTCCCATTGGCTAAGAACCTGCTGCCAGCAGCTTCTGAGGCACAGCATGGTCTATGGTGTCAGTCGAGGCAGGAAGCCTGCCTTAACACCCCTGGCTGCACAGCTGACGGGAAGCTACTCAAGATAATCCCCTCCTATCTCGGCCCTAATCCCCCAAAGCCAGAGCCCCCTTCTCCTACACCCAAAAGCTCTCTTCCTCAGTCCCACCCCAGAGGCCACGCTTTAGTCAAATTATGTTGGGTTGCAGGCATCAATAATTTTCTTCAAATGGGTCACAAGGAAAATAGTTTGAAAACCACTGGACTATATGACCTCCTGAGATCTTCCAACCCTAATTTTCTATTATTCAGTTTTCAGGTTGATTTACGGTGAAATTTAGTCTTGAGAATACAAAGGAATAGATTGCAGTAGCAAGGTTTGCAACCAAAAGAAACAATTATATTCCCCTGCCCTGTTGGTGACTGAAGAGAGTTTTCTTGATCACTGGTCTATATGACCCATTAAACAACAGCTGGGGATACCACAGACTGCAAACTTTTATTACACTGGGCTAGCTTAAACCTGCCAATTAAGGGTCAGAAATAACCCTTGCCATATCTTCCAGTTCTTTCAGCATTGTGTCAGTGAGCTTCATACAACTAGCTCTTCTCCATGATTCAGACTCAAGTAGGCACTGAATAGGGTTCATCAGCAGAAGCTCAACTGGGATATGTCTATACTATGGGATAAGGTTGAATTAAGATATGCAACTTCAGCTATGTTAATTGCGTAGCTGAAGTCAAAGTACTTTAATTGAACTTCTGGTGCTGTCCACACTGCAGGAAGGTGAAGGGAGAACACTCTCCCTTTGACTTCTCTTACTTCTTGTGAAAGCAGGGATCACCCAATGAAATTAACAGACAGCAGATTTAAACAAACAGAAGTCCTAACCACACACTAAATAAAGAATCTCAGCCACTAATACCTTCATCTTCATGGTCCCCATGAAATCCTGGATTAATATAGAGAGCTCATCATCCAAGATTGATGTTTAAGTTACTGAGAAATGTCATCCTTGGAGATCCCAAAACCATTGTGGTAAGAAACTATATTAGGTCATGCAGGAACTTTGCAATGCAGCAGGATGATCTGCCTATTAGAATAAGTCCCAGAACTCTCACAAGTGTGCATTTAAAAAGTCTCAGAAGTGTAGCCATATCAGTCTGTAACTTTAAAAACAACAAGTAGTCCTGTAGCAGAATCATGAGTCTCTAAGGTGCAACAGGACTACTCATTTTTAAAGTATGCATTTAATTCAGCTTTGAGGTACAACTCCTGCATTTCAGATTAGCTATAAAAAACATAACCACAATACTTCTTCCTCCTCTTAGGCTCAAGCGGCCTGTACTCAGTGCCTGTCTAAAATCAACTATGCCAAAACTGGTCCAGCGGGATCATTCAATCTGTATTTAAGAATTGCATGCAAGACTGTTGGGGAGGGGTCACCTTTAATTAAATCATGGCCAGATGACACTTTAATAAACATTTATCTTACATATAACAGCATGTATGATCATAAGATTGGAATATTTGTCCACTGATATTGCCAACCTCTAGATGAAACCAATGGAAGAGACTGAACAATTTCTTGTTTAAACCAGGATTTCTTCCTGCCTTGTCTCCCCTGTCCATTAACACAAGGATCGAAGAATCCTAAACTTTCCAACCAAGCCCTTCATACCAAGCCTTTTTATCCACAATACAGAGCAGTTGTTCTACCTTCTTGGACACCTTCAAGGGACATAGCAGCCAAATCTGGTTGCCAGGAAAAAGATTTCCAGGGCTGGCTGCAAAACTTATTTTCTAGTCAGCAGAGAGAAAATAACCCTTCCCTGCTTCTGAGGCTCTTGCCTTTACATGAAAAATTACCAAACTTCTTCCAAACACCATCATTAGGTAAAGAAACGAGGACAAATTTATACCATCCCTTTTCCTACCTTTTTTCTCCCTGTCCCCCTTCCTCTCACTCCTACTCCAGACTAACCGCTCCAAAAAGACATAACTCCTTCCATCATAAATGTCTAACTCTTGGAAAAGGAGGAGTTCTTGTCTGCATCATCAACTGCATATTTTTACTGCTGAGGAATCAAAGATTGGTGACATGGCCTGAAATCAAGGAAAACTCAATCCACATTTTTTTGTTTTGTCATATGAATCTTTCACTTCCATCGAAGGAAAAAGGCAAACTTATCCACTCAAGTCTACACCCTTCTACAAATACCCCCTCATCAACTATTCCCAAATACACAAAAGAGGAAAAAAAGCCTTTAAAAAGTGCTCAGTCATTTCTCAAGATATGCTGACCATCATGAAAACCCAGGATAGACACAGACTATTATTGAAGGGGAGGAGAAAAATAATTTTGAATGTTAACTCCTTTTCATTCCCTCATAGCTCCCACCCATTTACCAATCAGCAACACACAATCATTTTCCACACCTCCCAATATCCATCTATTATTTCCCCAAGCACACCCCAACCAAACTAGTCCAGCATCACCCACCTATTCCCCATAAATTTTCCTGTAGTAATACCATCCACCACCCTATCCATCCCAGAATCCACTAATCCTTACAACCCACCTTCAACAGCTCACTGGTCTTTCATTATCCACTGCCATAGCCACATCCTTTTGAACCCCCAGTAGCTACTTTCACAGCACCCTAAACTTCAGTGGCACTTAACTAACCTTCATACTCACCTTTCAGTAATATAGCTCACAGCACGTCCCACCACCTCTATCCCCCCTCCTGCCGCCCCCACCCCTCCATCAGAGTAAGGATGTTAAGGGCTACTCGATTAGTCGCTCTTCCCCCTTGCTGCCTCTATCAGATAGAGGCAGGCAGCAAAGAGGGGGGGAAAGGGGAGGGGTGGGGCAGCGCCGCATGGAGCCCGCACCGACCCCATCAATCCCCAGTGATCCCTCAGCGTCCATTCTGCACCTCCCCTCTAGCAGTGCACGCTCCCTCCCTACAACGCCCGCCCTCCATCGCCCCGCGCTGCCACCCGCTCTCCGAACCCGGAGTCCCCCTCCGCCCCGCCCAGCCGCAGCAGCAC